ATCAGAATATTTGAAGAATGCTTGCTCTTTATTTACTATTTTTGAAACTAAGGAGCTGGTTCACTTGCATCCTTAAGCTGATTTTTCCTTTCTTCTTTTTCTCTTCTTCCCTTCCTCCATCCATGAACTCAGAGATTTGAACTTTTTAGATATGCTTCATTCCATTGCACTTAGGCATGTTCAGATAATCTCATGTTTGGTCAGCAGGAACTTCTTCAGGTTTGCTCCTGAGTCCGTTTAACACAGTTCTGATCGTTGATAATCTCCTTGCTTTCCAGTAACAAGGTAATCAAAATTTATCTTGTCTAATTTATGTCACAGCTCTGGAAACGGTTACTTGTCACATCAAACACATCTTGATTCCTTTGAACAGGAAATTGTTTTTCAGTACCATTATCTGAGTTCATTGCTACTGGGGTTAGTCCCTTGTTTCCAGGCCTTTTCAGCGTGTAGTACTAGGAAATATCCATATTTAAGATGAAATATGTATTTATACTGATAAATCAGTTGAAATTCAGAACTACAGGATTTTTTGCTTAACTTTTTCTGTCCTCCTACTTCTACTAAAAAAAAAAACCCAAAAAACCCAGATTTTCAAGGACACCTACATTTACTTTATTCTACAGTAGACATCAACACTTTTACAGTAACTACTGACACTACAACCAACATTGCGTTTACGGAAAAACAAAACAGGGATACTAGGATTAGAGTCAATTTTCTGTGTTACAAAGTCATTTAAGTTAGTTAATCTTTGAATGGTTATACGATCAATTTGATAAAAAATTATAATTACTTTTGTTTTTCATTTTTAGGAATTTCTTTTAAAATTTTAGTTTGTGGGGTGCCTGGGTGGCTTTGATTGAGTGTCTGACTTTGGCTCAGGTCATGATCTCATGGTTCATAGGTTCTAACCCCATGTTGACTTTGCCCTGACATTGCAGAGCCTGCATCAGGTTCTCTGCCTCCCTCTCTCTCTGCCCTTCCCCACTCTTGCTCGTTCTCTCAAAAATAAACATTAAAAATTTTTTTAGTTATATAATTACATAAAATATTTACATGGTTTGAAAGTTAAAAGCTACAAAACAGGTTAAACCCAGAATAGTCAGTCTAGTTTTTTCCCTGTTTGCTTTGTTCATTCTCTCCTTCCCAGTAGATATTCTTTTAACGTTATAGCTTATTCTTTTAAGTGCATACATCTGTCTCTATATTCATATCTTTCCCATCTTAAATAAATTCAAGGGTATTCTAAGAATTCTTACATAGAGTGGAAGGTTGGATTTCATAATTACTGGTGCTTTGTCTTTAATTTTAGAGTTGTGCAACCATCAACCTGATAGGATATTAGAACATTTTCATCACTGCCAAAAAGTTCCGTTGTGCCCATTTACGGTTAATCTTGGCTCCTGGTCCCAGCCCTAGGTAGCCACTGTCAGCTTTTCTGTTATTTCTAGATATATCATATATATACACACATATTTTTTTAAAGTTTTTATTTTTTTGTGGTGTTTATTTATTATTAAGAAACAGAGAGACAGAGCATGAGCATGGGAGGGGCAGAGAGAGGGGGAGACCCAGAATGTGAAGCTGGCTCCAGGCTCTGAGCTGTCAGCACAGAACCTGATGCGGGGCTTGAACTCAAAAACCATGATATCATGACCTGAGCTGAAGCCGGACACTTAACCCACTGAGCCACCCAGGCACCCCTCTAGATATCTTATATAACTGAAATAATATAGTAATGTACTCTTTTGCATCTGGCTTCTTTAACTTAGCATGTTTTTGAAGTTAATCATGTTGTAGCATGTACCAGTGGTTCTTATAATTGCTGAACGGTATTCTGTTGTATGAGTATACTACATTTTGTTTACCTTACTGGTTGATTGACATTTGGATTGTTTCCAGTTTTTGTCTCTTTTGAATAATACAACTATGCATATTCACATTTATATGGGCATATATTTTCATTTCTCTTTGAGAAGGTTTCGAGGAGCAGAATTCTTGGTTTGTATGGTTAAATCTATGTTTAACTTCTTAAGAATCTACCAAACTGTTTTCCAATGTGATTTAAACTTTAAATTCTCACCAGTAATACAGAAGGGTTCCAGTGTCTCCACATCTCTGCCAACTGTTAGTGTACTTTTGTTCATTTTGAATTTATCCTTTCTAGTAGGTGCGTAGCAGTGTGGTAAGGTTTTACTTTTAATGATATTGAGAATATGTTCATGTGCTTATTAGACATTCTTTTGGTGAAATATTTCTTTAAATCTTTTGCCCATGTTTAAAATGGAGTTGTCTTTTTACTCATTTGTATGAAGTGTTTTTAATATGTTATAAGCCCTTTATCAGATAAGTGATTTCAAAATTTTTTTTATAGTCTGTGGATTATCTTTTCATTTTCTCAATGGTGTCTTTTGAAGCACACATTGCTAATTTTGTGGAAATCCATTTTATTTTTTTCCTCTTTTGAAGATTGATGTCACATCTAACACTTTGTCCAACCCAAAGTTAAGATTTTCTCCTGTGTTTTTCTTCTAGAATTTTAGGTCTTACATTTCAGTGTTTGTGATCCATTTTGAGTTACTATTTGTGTGTGTTGTAAGGGAAGGATCTCCGTGGTGGTTGGTTTTTTTTGTTTTTGGCATTTGAGTATCAAATTGTCCCATGTGATGTGTGGAAAATGCTCTCCCCTTTGAATTATCTGGGCACTCTTGTTGCACAAATCAGTTGATCATAAATGTAAGAATTTTCATTCTGGATTCTGTACTGTTCCATTGAGTTATATGCTTAATCCTTTTGCCACTACCACATTGTTTTGATTATTGTAGCTTTAAAGAAGATTTTAGAATTTGATAGAATAAGTCCTCTGATTTTGCTCTTTTAAAAAATTGTTCTGGCTATCCTAGGTTCTTGGATTCCCTAAGAATTTTATTTTATTTATTTATTTTTAAAATATTTTCTTTTTTTTTTTAAATGTTTTTTTTTTTTTTTTAATTTATTTCTAGGAGAGAGAGAGAGGGACAGCGTGAGCAGGGAGGGTCAGAGAGCGAGGGAGTCACAGACTGAAACAGGCTTCAGGCTCTGAGCTGGCAGTCAGCACAGAGCCCGACGCGGGGCTCGAACCCATGAACCGCGAGATCATGACCTGAGCGAAAGTCGGACGCCCAACCGACAAAGCCACCCAGGCGCCCCTCCCTAAGAATTTTAGAATCAGTCTGTCAATTAAAAAAAAAACCACTCACCTGAGATTCTCCTAAGGATTACATTGAATTTTACAGATCAACTTGGGGGTGAATTTTCATCTTGTGCGTATTTAATCTGGGCTTATGTAACCTTAGGCTAGTGAGAACTGTGTTGTTTGCCTTCTCCAGTTGAGTAGCCTCCGAGAAGTCACTTTCAGTGATCATGTCTCTGGGTCTCTGCTTTATCCTCTGCACTAAAAATGGAGTGAGCCCTCTGCCATCACAGCAGCTTTTGGGCTCCTTGTCCTCACAGGGTAACACTAGTGGAGCTGAGTGATAGGGGAGAACTGAGTAGCCCCAGACGAGAACACCACAGATTCTCAGTGTCGTTCGCTGAAATCGAGCATTTTTCGAACGTAAATGGTTCTCAGATGGTTTTATGTCATTGAACATGAAAATGACTCCTTTTGTCAAAAATTTTCAGATTTATAATTGCTTTTAAGAGAGGGAGTTTGCTGATTTTACTTGCCTATAGCCCGAAGTACCTTCTTTCCCATGCCTGAGTCTTAAATTACTTAAGAATAATTAATTAAGAAAAACTTAAAAGTAGTTTTCTGTGAGAAAATAGGTGCTGCTTTGAGTTTATTACTAACCATGTGTCCTTAATTGGGGACCAAACACATTGCTTCTTTGAGGAGTAAGGTGGAAATAGGGACTGAATCTAGTTGCTTTCCACTTCCTGGTATGTAATCTACACAGATCGTTTTTAATTTGGGAGTTATATGTGGTTGGAAGACTACTTTCACTTTTATATGATACTGCTTTACTTCAGATATTTGTGGTTTATGACTAGGTCATTTTGTCTTTTGCCAGAAGAAGTTGAGTCAGGTAGTATGCCACTTTTGTCCTTTTGAAATGTTTAAACATAATTTTTTTTGTGTCATCATATTTTGATTTTCTGTAGGAAAACGGTAGTTTAGTGTAGTATTCTCTTTTTTGATACATGAACATAGTTCCTTTTCATAACTGTATTTTAATCTTTTCTTAGTTTATGATTAGTGTATACCATATGAAATGGTTTGGAACTCTACTTTTTTTTTTTTTTTTTTAATGTTTTATTTATTTCTAGGAGAGAGAGACAGCGTGAGCAGGGAAGGGTCAGAGAGAGAGGGAATCACGGACTGAAACAGGCTCCAGGCTCTGAGCTGGCAGTCAGCACAGAGCCCGACGCGGGGCTCGAACCCACGAACTGCGAGATCATGACCTAAGCGAAAGTCGGACGCTTAACCGACTAAGCCACCCAGGCGCCCCGTAACTCTACTTTTTTTTGGTGAAGCTACCTTTGTACTAATACCCTTCAGCAGTGTTTAATGAGGGTGGGGACTAAGTGTCCCTCTCTCCCAGTGTTTAATACAAAATAAACAGTATGATTTTGTTCAGTATGTTGTAGCATTACTGTGTTGCATTAGGTTGAGGTTCCAAGGGTTTTCAGCCTAGTTTGTGCTTTTGGTGACTGATCTTCACCTCTTCATAGCCTTTGGAGAAGAGGATAAGAAAGTGGACCAGAACATTACTGTTTGGGAGAGAAACAGAATCAAGGAAGATTCTGGTTTGAGATAAAGGAATGGGGAATATGTCATGGAAATGAAGTGCACTGTTGAGTATTTTTCCATTTCCTGTAAGATCTGTTTTTTGTTACTTGGTCTGGTGAGTTTAACCCATCTCAGTAGATTACTTAAAATCTCATCTTAACTTCAGTATATGAAATTGTAAGTTTGTTTTACTAAAATCTTTGCTTTCCTCCTTTTTCCCTCTTAGGACATTTGCTACAAGATCCTATTGCACCCACCAACTCCACCTGCCAACATTATGTCTGCAAATCTTGTAAAGGCAAGAAAATGATGATGAAACCTTCATGTAGCTGGTGCAAAGACTATGAGCAATTTGAGGAAAACAAGCAGTTAAGCATCCTAGTGAACTGCTACAAAAAACTATGCGAATATATAACACAGACTACATTGGCACGGGATATAATAGAAGCAGTCGACTGTTCTTCTGATATTTTGGCTTTGCTTAATGATGGATCATTGTTTTGTGAGGAGACCGAGAAACCCTCAGATTCATCCTTTACTTTGTGTTTAACACATTCCCCTTTACCTTCGACCTCAGAACCCACAGCTGATCCTCAAGCTAGTTTATCTCCAATATCTGAAAGCACCCTCAGCATTGCTATTGGCAGTTCTGTTATCAATGGTTTGCCTACTTATAATGGGCTTTCAATAGATAGATTTGGTATAAATATTCCTTCACCTGAACATTCAAACACAATTGATGTATGTAACACTGTTGACATAAAAACTGAGGATCTGTCCGACAGCTTGCCACCTGTCTGTGACACAGTAGCCACTGACTTATGTTCCACAGGCATTGATATCTGCAGTTTCAGTGAAGATATAAAACCTGGTGATTCTTTATTACTGAGTGTTGAGGAAGTGCTTCGCAGCTTAGAAACTGTTTCAAATACAGAGGTTTGTTGCCCTAATTTGCAGCCCAACTTGGAAGCCACTGTATCCAATGGACCTTTTCTGCAGCTTTCTTCCCAGTCTCTTAGCCATAATGTTTTTATGTCTACCAGCCCTGCACTTCATGGGTTATCATGTACGGCAGCAACTCCAAAAGTAGCAAAACTGAATAGAAAACGATCCAGATCAGAAAGTGACAGTGAGAAAGTTCAGCCACTTCCAATTTCTACCATTATCCGAGGCCCAACGTTGGGGGCATCTGCTCCTGTGACAGTGAAACGAGAGAGCAAAATTTCTCTTCAGCCTATAGCAACTGTTCCCAATGGAGGCACAACACCCAAAATCAGCAAAACTGTACTTTTATCTACTAAAAGCATGAAAAAGAGTCATGAACATGGATCCAAGAAATCGCACTCTAAAACCAAGCCAGGTATTCTTAAAAAAGACAAAACAGTAAAGGAAAAGATTCCTAGTCACCATTTTATGCCAGGAAGTCCTACCAAGACTGTGTATAAGAAACCCCAGGAAAAGAAAGGGTGTAAATGTGGGCGTGCTACTCAAAATCCAAGTGTTCTTACATGCCGCGGCCAACGCTGCCCTTGCTACTCTAACCGCAAAGCCTGCTTAGATTGTATATGTCGTGGCTGCCAAAACTCCTATATGGCCAATGGGGAGAAGAAGCTGGAGGCATTTGCTGTGCCAGAAAAGGCCTTGGAGCAGACCAGGCTCACTTTGGGCATTAATGTGACTAGCATTGCTGTGCGCAATGCTAGTACCAGCACCAGTGTAATTAATGTCACAGGGTCCCCAGTAACAACATTTTTAGCTGCCAGTACACATGATGATAAAAGTTTGGATGAAGCTATAGACATGAGATTCGACTGTTAAATCAGTGGGTCTTTAAACCTACCTCTGGTAGGGAAATAGCTACAGTTTTACGGCAGCTATGGTTTTGTTGGTTTAACTTGCCGGAGCTCCTGCATATAGATCACTTGTATCAAGTGTTTTCATTGCTAAGTTATATGTGTTAGTGTCGGGGAAATAGTTTGCAGATAACGGAGGAGTAACCCTAAAACTATATGTCCTTAGTTCTTACAGAACCTCATAGTTTGAGAACAAATGCTGATGCAACTGATTTATACAAAATGAACTTTGGCAAGGAAAATAACATTAACCTCATTGTTTATGGTCATGCTTTGTGCATAATCAAAGTTTATGATTAAATGTAAGGAAGTGGTATCTAGTCAGTCCATAAAGATTGTGCTAATTTTTTGTGAAAAAAGTAGCCATTAGTTTGTTCAGGAGACTCAGTGCTGCCTTCAGATGTCATTGATGTTTCTCCTGTTGAAAAGCTGATGTGTCCAGCTCAACCTTTGTGCTGACGTAATACCATTTCTTATCATGAAAATTGGCTACTGGTGTATGTAGCAGTTCTTAAATCAGCAGTATTATGAAAGAAAATTTGCCCCTCATTAGAATGTTGAAATCTGTCTTTTAAAAAGTGAACAAACTGAAATTCTGTCAGACTACAGATATTTAGCTGTTTATGCTACAAAACTCTTCTGAGTTGATTCCCTTTTATAGTTATGTCTGACTCATTTCTAGGGAAAAAATTTTGAAGTCCTTCACTTTTAGCAATGTTATAATTAGATAAATGAAGTGGAGAAGAGCAGTTTTATTCTGAAGGTAATTGAATTTAGATTATAAGATGTGACAGAATTTTTAAAAAATTATAAAAGTTTTTATTTAGAAGTTGGAATTTATTTAAAATAATTTTTGGAATAATGCCCCAAAACTCACGAGATTTATGCATTATATTTATTGCTGTTGGCCACTTCTTTGATTTTTTTTTTTTTTTGGTTCCTCTAATAGTTTCAGACTTTATTTTGAATATGCTCCTTCTCTTCTCTTCTCTTCTCTTCTCTTCTCTTCTCTTCTCTTCTCTTCTCTTCTCTTCTCTTCTCTTCTCTTCTCTTCTCTCTTCTGGTGCTATTCGTTATGAAGGCTTCTTTATGGAGGCCAAATAAAAATGCCTTTTTATGAAGCCTGTGCATTTAGGTAGGTTTGAAGCTAGGAGGATATGGTTTTTTTCTTTTTTTAAAGAATGCTCTTTTGCATGTAAAGCACAAACTGTTTCAGTTTAAATGCACGCCTTCCCTTTAATTTTTATGGGGGAGACAAGTACAAACATTCTATTGAAGGGAAATCTAGTCAGTTGCTTGAAAAGAGCACAGCCCAAATAAAACAAGGACTGACTAGGTTGTAAAGAAAATGACCTTATGATTTAAAAGAAGAATTGCTGCTTTGACAGTGCTTATTTAAAAAAAAATACTGCTGGAAAATTTCCAATTTCTACTACGTTCACCATCTCTCATGAGATCTGACATGTTGAAGCTATGCTGACATGTTGAAGTTATGTTTTGATTTGGCACACAGCATGTTCAATGATGGTTACTCACCTAGTACAAGACATGGAGAAGAAACCTTTGGACACAGAGCAGATGACACCTCCTTCTGTTTTGTAGTGTACCCTGGTGTCATTTTCTGTGAATGTGGTCAGGTAGAGTTGTTTTTGTTGTTGTTGGGCCTTTTTTTTTTTTTTTTTTTTTTTGTCTCTTTTGGTGGGGTGGGGGTGGGCTAAAGCCATAGGAAGAAAAATGTGATGTATGTGTCCAGTATGTACTATTTTGTTTTTGTTTTGCAAGAAGAGTTGAACTATTTTTGATAACAAGAGTAAATGGTGGAAAATGCTTCTTAGTTGTCTTGTCTTTATTTGCTTTCCAAGTTTTGGAATTTTATTTAATTCCTCTAAGTGTTAGCAGTGTCTTATGCAACATGTATTTGCCTAAAAGTTTGTAACAGTTTTGTGTTGAACCCAGATGCCCTGCTATATAAACTTGTAAAATCTGTTCTTTATTCACTAATGATCACTGCAAAAATGACTAGAAATGAGATTGTACACATGGATGATTAGGATATATTTGCAAATCTCCCAAACTTTCCTAATATGATCTTAAAATTCATAGAATACTTTGCTTCCCAAGTTTGATAATTTTAGTTTTGTGTTTTTTGATGCATGGGAGGTTGGCAATATAGACAAAACGGAAATCATTAGTATGTGAGGGCCTTGATTGTTATGTAATATTGCCAATGATGAATTCAGGTTGTTTTTAGCACAAGTTTCTCTTTTTTATGCTGGTATTCTCACTGCCACATTTTTGGAAACCTGTATTACACCTTAAATCTATCAATAAATGTTAGTTTTATAATTCTATGTTGTAGAATACTGAGGAGTTTGGGATAGCATGCTCTGAATGGCCTATATTATATACATTTGGGGAAGAATAATTACAGTGCCTTGATTTTTATATTGTTTTTTTTTTATACCATGAGTTATTTAGGAATGCTGACCAGTGGCTAAATAGGGATGATTGAGAAATTATTACTAAAGTAAATGGATTTACTTTATCAGGATTGAAACCACCAAAACAATAACAGCTTTTAATATGACACGTCTTCATTTGTTCTTTTGAGTCTTTGTTATTAACGTACGTAATCAAATTATCTTACACCTTAGGTGATTAAAGTTTTAGATCTAGCGACTTATATCTTTTTGGTTAGCTTCATTAAATCTACATTTCTGTGCAGAGCTATAATATGGTCCTAGGATAAAGAATTCCTTTTATTTCACTGTTCTTAGTATTCTTGAAACAATTCTTGTCACCTTGAAGAAAAGTAAGCCTTAGAACAGATGAAAAGATTCCCATATCATAGGTAACAAATATAAAAATGCTTTAGAAAATTAAGTTGAAATCTTAAACTTGGATGATATTTTAATTTTTCTCCTTTCTTTCTAAAAAATTAAGTTTTAGGTAACCAGATAATTACACAGTCTTAAAAAGAATACATTATATATAAGGCTAAAGTCCTTTTGATCCTTGTAAACCTTTTATTCCCAATATCTAGTCTTCCTTATTCCCTCCCAGAGGAAATCCCTTCTCAGTTATGAGGTGTTATCCTTCTAGATTTCCCAGGGGTTCAAAGAGTTATTTAAAACTCAAATTTATTTACAGTGTTAATCTCTCAAACATAAAAATGATTTGGAAGTGTGAATAAAACCAAAAGTGTGTAGTGATTATCTTAGTGACCATGGTTCATATTTGACAACTTGTCTTTATTTAGTTTTGCAAAAAGGGAAAAACAAAAACAAGTTAAATCATGCAGGTTTCTCCACCCAAATACACTTTAACATTTCCAAGTATCGAGCAAATACCTTACACCTCATTTGATTCTAGAATTTTATAAACACTTTGACACAGTGACATAGATAAGATGCAGAGAAAATATACAGAATTTCATTACTTTGATTACCTTAGCAATTAATGTTATGAAGTTCATTTTTCATTGACTTGCATTAAGACCATGATAACCTTCAATTTTTATCAAGGAGCCAGGGATATTATAAAAACTTGTAATTTCCAGTTGGGCAGTAATGATAATATTCAGTGAGATCTCTTTACCAGAAAGTCATATATATACTGTCCTAGTTCCTCAGAAGTCACATTTCTTGCATTCAACTCTTAAGAAAGGAGTACATCAAAACGCTTCTTTCTGAAAATATACTTTGGGTAACCTAAATTAAAATAGCTTTATCTTAAATGGAATGATATGGGTAGATGTAACTTTTTATAATAATTACAGACTTTTGAAACCAAATACAGACCAAAGTAAAAGCAAGAGGATTTCAGTAAGGAGACACAAAGTAAAAAGGTAAAAGCCAAATAGTATATTAAAAAAAAAATGTATACTGAAACTTTTTTACTTTTTGAGGCTTAGAAATAGTTTAGATCATTATGGATAATAAAACCTTTAAACCATATCTGGCTTTAAAAATCTTACCTTTTTAATATTTTATGTGACATAAAAATTGCTTTCTCTCCCTGGTAAAGGGTGGATGGGATAGATGGTCAAGTTCATGTATCACAAATACAAATATTTTCTAATTTACTAGTGTATTTAGGTTATTGCATATAATTTTTCCTAAAAATATAGTCATTTTTAAGTTTTTAGTTCTTTGTGAACTATTAGATACCAAATTTTAATATTTTTCACTTTATATAACAGTTAAATGGAAGATTAGTTCTGATCATAAAAGGTAAAATAACAGCAAACTGCATCAGTTGATGGTGCATTTCCTAAATTGCCACTTTTTGCCTACTATAGCCCAAGGTTTGATTATTTTATTGTTCGACTTTCATACCAGTAAGGAGGAACCAAAGCAGAGTGGCAAGAGAAGCTATTCTGGCATTCAGGACATGTGGTTAAAGCAAAAAACCCAGGGGAAAAGGTGATGACTTTGACAGGGATGGTTGTGAAAAAGTTTCTTGGGAGTGTCTTTTACTTACACTATTAGAAATTTCCATCCTTCTTAATAGTTTTCAGTTCTTAAGGATATTGCAGGATTTGGCTGCATTGTGGCTTGCAGAGAAAATAATTCTGTAATGAACACTTCTACAATTATAGTAAAGATGAAGCTGATTTTCTTTATGGGTGGCATCACAGTTTTCTTCCATTTTTGTGCTAAATATTGAGGTGATGGAATATTTGAAATAGTTTCTTTTCAACATGAATGGATAATGTTTAGATTGAGGCCTTTACTATTGGCTTAGTGTAATAGTGATGAATGCATCTAGTAAAAATTTTCAAATCACTACGTCTTCAAGTAGGCCTTCTGATAGGAAGTGTAGATGGGGGACATCAACTAATTTGAAGATTAATAAGTCCTTCAGTAATTCTCCACAAATGTTAGATAAGTTAAAAGGAAATTTTTTCAAGTATGAATCAAATTCTGTACTTAGAAGTTTTTTTTTTCATCCTATCTTATATAAGATCCACAGTCAGGATGGGGAGAGATTATGCAGAGCTTGCCAGCAAGGTTGGAAGGCCCAGTGGTTACAATACCTGAGGATGTAAAGTGACTAGCAGTTTGGCAGGTCATTGTGAAGTTACATTAAACCAAGTAAGTTCAAGATCTTTGAACTCCAGTACACATATTAAAAAGTCTGAGATGTTCTGGCAGTGCTTTTATTACCAGGGGTAAGTCATTTCTGGAGGCCCTTTATCTGCTTTCTCAAGTTCCAGAATTTTTTTGACTCAAGTTTTCTGCAAGTGAAGGTTTCTTCTGGGCTCCGTGGGAGCCCTGAGGGACCTCAGGGAAGCTGGACAACAGAGGCACCTCCTGCTTTTGTGCAGAGAATTGTGCTTGGCACTGTCCCCAAAAGATCGCTAGTACATTCAGGGGTGAACAGTGCAGATTCACAGTCTTTGGAAGGTGATATATATATCATTGTATTTGTTTGGAGGAAAAGGTCTGTAAGAGGTTTGAGGCAAATTGGAGGAGTCCACCAAATTGAGCATGTGTATCCAGATCTATTGCTTAAAAATGTTTTAAAGTTCCTAGTGCAGATACACACTTGCAGAAATCAAAGCCTTTAAGCAGTATGCAAACTGGAGCATCTTCACAAGAAAAAGATTTAAATTACATATCTCTTTCATGTAGACCTTGGCAGCTATTCTTCATCCACTGACTGAAGCTTTCCACATTTCTCTGAAAGGCTTGAGGTTACTATTTTACTTTTATTGCCTTTGTTTCCAATTTCAGAGGGAGAGGCAGGTTCTTCTGTTTCATAATCTTCAAAGGAGCTGCAAGAACAAACAAAAGTGAGTTACTGATTAAAACAAAACAAAACTTCATTGTTTGGGTAGAAGTCAATATGGCAAACTAGAGACTGGAAACCACCAGGCTTGCAATAGTACCCTCAGTTGCTAAATAATGGCTGTAAACAACTGAACCATACTGGAGGAGACCATGCTTTCATCTAGAACAGAAAACATATTCTCCCTGTTCGTTAAAGCCCAAGTTCATGTTAGGATTTGTTGAAACTGTGCTGTATCTAGCTTTCCCTAAGGAGTGTTGGTGTGAATGAGGGCATTATGGAGGAGATAGGTTGCGGAGGGTGTGAGGTCCATAAAGTACAAACTTCATATGAATGCCTTCATTGAAGTGGCTTTCATGCAGAGTGGGGAACGTTCAACTCAAATTGCTTTATAGCTTCTATGGTTTCCAAGAAGTACATTTAGATGTGCAAGTGTGTACCTAGAGTAGATGAAGCCCATTCATGGATTTCTTCCATTTTTTACAGAACTCCCCAGCATATTCCCTCTGCTTACTCCCCTTAGAAGTTTTTGGTATCTCCTGAGTTCCATTATTTTCCAGGCTATTCTTGAGGGTGGCCTTAGGCAGGGATGACAGTATATCTAGTGGGAATGATGGCTGTTTGAATTATTGATAAATCTGCTGAGGCTATATGTGGGCCCAGAAAAATAGAAATGATAATTACCAATGTCTGTTGGCAGTATTTGGCATCACCAGCTTAGTAACCTTATCCTTTGCAAGGACTTTTTACACAGTATCTGTGCAGAAATTCCTGGACACATAGTCCTTTCATCAAAAAGGTACCAACGCTTGCTAATGAAAAATATGTTGACAGGTGTGCCCAATAGTAGAGGTGGTACCTATTCAACTCTAAAATGTTTTTGAATAAAGGTTAGAGAATGTTTAATAATAATAATAATAAAAGCTTAGCTGATGTTTAGAAAACGTCCCCTTGAGTACCAGTTTATAATCCTATCAAAAATTTTGCAGAAATATTCCATTCTATACTTTATTTCCATTCTTCTCCCATCCCCTTGAGGCCTCAATGTAACTGGCATCAGTTGGATAAGGAGGCAGATGGGAGGGTAACTTTGCTTTAAGGGTTGATAGTTGAGCCTCCATTACTGGGCCAAAATCTCAAAAGCTAATTCTAGCAATGCAGTGTCTGAGATACTGTGCTTATTTCTTGTCAAGAGTGGAAGACATTTTCTTCCTCTTGATGACCAAACTTACCTGAGCTTTCAGTGACTTAAACATCTCAGTGCAGATCTGGGAATACGTATTGTTCAAGAGGTCTGAACTGAAACTCCTTCAGTAAATATCTGAGCTCCTATTCTAAGCATGAGCCAAATACTAGGAATACAATGGTGAAAAAGACTGAACTAGCCCCTTCCTACTGAGTTTGTACTATAATGGAGGCCATCTAGAATAATGGTTATGTGGTTTCTAACCTTCAGAACATGGGCTTTGGAAAAATCATGTTCCAATCTCAGTTTGATCACTTAATGTTATTTTGGATATGTTACTTAACCCCTCTGCATCAATTTCCTCAACTAGTGAGATAATAGCAGTTCCTGCCCTTCATAAGGGCCAAGTGGAGATAAGGTGAGAAGACCTATAAATCATAAACTCTTGGAAGTATTAGATATTCTCATGATAGAGAGGTGCTTGGGCTTAACTACTGGAGCAGGGTGGTGACACCTATTCCTATTAGGGGGTTGGGGTCACGTTTTTTGTGTGTTATTTTTTAAGAGTTCCTACAGAATAATATTTTTTCCCACTATAGCCTCATACCAGAAATTGGATTTCTAGCAATGGATTTGATCCAATATAGTACATAAAGATATTCCAGTGCCCTGTGGGTTGGATATAGAGGAATGCCACCTGCATTTCTTTTGTACTCTCAAGGCAACAAGAACGGTACTATGCACAGAGCCTTTGGAGGAATCTTCTGGGGTGAGGGAGCTCACTTAGAATCTTTGTCTTTCCTTCCTTCCGAGTGTGAGCAAGGGTGGGGCAGAGAGAGAATCCAAAGCAGGCTCCAGGATCTGAGCTATCAGCACAGAGCCCGATGAGGGGCTCAAACTCACTAACTGAGATCACGACCTGAGCTGAAGTCAGATCTCAGCTAAAATTTTTTACTCTCCTACTCAGTGTTTCTCAAATGGAGGCAATTCCCCCAGCTCCGCGGCATTTGGCAACGTCTGAAAGCATGTTTGATTGTCACAACCGGGTGGGTTCTACTGGCATCTAGTGGGTAGAGTTCAGGGATGCTGCTAAACATCCTATAATGTGCCAGACAACACCACACAACAGAATTATCCAGCTTAAAACATCAGTGCCATTGAGAAACACTGCTCTAACTCTTGCCCCTTCAGTGTCAACACATCCCAGAATTCTGGTCTAAACTCTTCTTATTTTGTTCTTCTCTGGACTGTCATTCATTCTTACAGCTTTATCCACCACTTGTTTACCTGTAGTTTCTAAATGTACATGTCCAGACTCAGCCTCTTTCTAAACTGGAGACTGCCGTGTATCCAACTATCTACTCTTGTGGCTCTTTCATTATGGCAGTATATACAAAGCTGAACCCATCCTTCCCACACCCTGACTCCACCATAATCTACCCCTTTAAAGCCAAAAATCCAGTAATCCCAAATTTCTCTTTCCTCTTTGCCTTCCCCTTTTCAAATCCAGCCAGTTTCTTCTACCACTTAGAATAATACACGGACACAATTCTACCCCTCTCTCCCCACTGCCACTGATTTAGTTCAGGGCACTATATTTCATTGCTTGGGCTGCAACAGTTCTCTAACACTGGACTTCCTGCCTTCACTCTTGTCACATACTCTTTGCTATTGCCATACCAGGCTATTTAGCTTGTCAAAATGAGTTATGGTCTTGGGAGCTAATGCCACTGTACATGTTCTTCTGTGGCCTGCAGTGCCCTTACCTTTTGTTTAACTTGTTCTTATCTTTTAATCTGAAAGGTCATTTAAAAGGTTCTTGGTTCCCAGTGCCTGAGTAATCATCTCTTTTTTAAATTTTTTGTTTAAATTCCAATTAACATAGAGTGTAGTATTAGTCTCAGGTGTACAGTATAGTGATTAAATACTTCCATACAATGCCCGGTGCTCATCACAAGTGCCCTCTTTAATCCCCATGGCCATTTCTTATTTAGATGTTTGTAATGGCTTCCTTATGTCTCCCTACTTCTCTATTCTTGTACCACTAGTAATCTGAAGATTACTATCTTAAAAAACTGGAAATGGGATGATATTTCTTGTTTAACTCTTTTTCAATAGCTTCCTGAGGCTCTGCATGCTCAGGCTCCAGCCATATTTCCTTCTATTGCTCATTATATTCCAGCCATACTGGTCTTTTAAAATATCCTTGACGCACTGTTTCCTTGTTTCCTGACTCAGAGCCACTGAATATATTTTCTCCTCTACCTAGAATATTTTTGTTCCCTTTTTCAGAACGATTTCCTTCTTAACCTGTAGGTTATCATCTCAGGAATTTTTCTCAGTACCCTAAGTTGCAAGTCTCTCTCCATTATTGGCTCTATTTGTTTTCTTCAAATTATATAATTAAATGTTTTCTCTACTTGATTATAAAGCATCCATTTGCCCACTGGCATTTTCCTTGGGCTATAGTATAGTGCCTGGCACTAGGAGCTCAAAATGATGAATAAAAAATGATGTCCTAAGGCTCTTGTGAAATGATACATTGAGTTCTCAGGGAAGGCTGAAGTCAGTAAAATGATGAGAGTGCAAAAGTCATCTCCAAGCCACTTAAGTCAGAACGTTGAGAGTCTAAACTTTATCTTGTTCTCTAGGAATTCCTGAAAGAGAGCCTATTCCTTCTAAATGACCACTTCCACGTTTACTTGTAGGTTACTGGGATTCCTCTGGACACAAATGAAGATTGTTTTATGAAATATTCTGTTAATCTAACTGGCTGTTTTTGAATGAGTTAGCAGGGTCAGAGAATTGAAGCAGAACTCCTAGGGTTCACAAATAGGTTCCTTAGAAAACCTAGGTATCAAACTGAACAAATTTAACCTAGTATTCACAGTGTTAGTATAAGGGAAAATAATGGTTATATATTTTTGCTAGCAATATGTTGCCTTTAAAAACATGTTTCCCTAAGTAAGTTTTTCCCTCTCAGATGAGCAATTTCTGGAGAAAAGTATTAAGGCTGGTTCTGCTGACTCCTGGAATTAGTAGAAATAATGATTGGCACATATATGATCTGAAAAAGGATTTGTACAGTTTCGAGGTATTATCTGGTGATTGTGGTCTGATTCTATTTTTGGGATTCTCTTTTCAGGGGTAAAGTGCTAGAATATTTAACTCAGGGTTTGAGGAAGTCTAAGACGTGGTGGCTATAAGCATAAAATAAAATGTTAAGTAGTTCTTTAATTTGGAGTCTATAATGCTTTAGATTTAGGAGTGGATAAATCTTACCTTTATACTTTTAAATCCTAAATCACTTATATAAAATGTAGTAACTGAAATACTTGGGAAATTGGACATTTGGATCAATGAATTTCCTTGTTGACTCAGTAACTAGAAGTTTCTTAATATGTACCACCCACTTTCTTGCCTGAAAGTTGATCTCACTTCAGTTTTTGGTCTCTTCCAGTTCCCTAGGGTCATAAGCCATCAGTTACTTATTATTATTTAGTTTGTGTATATATAGCTAAAAAATTTGGGTTAAATATATTCTAATTATGAACTTGAAGGGAGGGATAGGGTTTCATTTATTTTTATTACTAACCACAGTGCCTGGCATTAAGTACTAGAGAATATCTATTGAAAGAAAATAAAATTGCGCTTTGATTTGTTCATTCAGAAAAAAATTAAAAACATTATTAAATTCAGGTCTAGTGTTTAGAATTCAGTGTTTACTGAGCACTATAAAACATAACTTAGAACTATTCTACTTTTAAGACTGTAACTCATGCTTCAGAATATTCCTGTCA